GTCCAAAATCGATAGAAACACTGCAATTCGTATTTAAAAAAAATATTCTAAATATCCCTGTTATGTAACTCGGTAAACTTAACTGCCTTGAGTTTGTTTTTAAAACGTTAAAAACATTGGTGTATGCCATTTTTAGTTTTTTTTTAAATTTATTTAAAGTATGCAATATTAAATTAATATTAACATAAATTTACTAATAAGAGTTTTAACTAGAACAACACAAAACTAGATAATACAATTTATGAACTAAATAATATCTCTTTTTGTTTCAAAACTAGTGAAAGTTTTTTTTAACAAACTATTCAACGTACTCGTACTAACCAAAAAACTAACTTTTTAACTAACTAACAATCCGAAATACTTTATGCATGGCATTTTGTTTTTAAATAACGAACGGAGGCAGTAGCGTAGCTAGGGGGGCGATAATAAAATTTTCATAAAATCAACTTACCGCCAATTTTCAACTATATTATGTATGTACTAAGTACTGAACGATGCGGAATCACATATTTAGAGAACCATATCTCGCAACATCAAAACAAAACATAATTTTTTTTAAGCCATTTTAAGCAAAAACTGTTAAAGAAAATAAATTGTGGGTAAATTATAATATAATATTTTGGCAACAAAATCAAATATATTCTTCTTTTATTATGCTATACATTAAATAAAAGAAATGCAAGCAATATTTTATAAAAAAGGAATATTTCTGTGGCTCATGTGAGTTTTTACCCAAATGCTCTTTTAAAACCTGACTAAGTAATTGACTTTTTTTTCTATTTTCAAAATTTCTTATACAATTTTTTAGTTTTTTTTAAAAAACTTAATTATTCAAAGTTGGCTATTTTTTTTCAAAAAAACTTATTTATTCTGCGTTTATTTTTGCAAATGACATAGAGGCCAACTTTATATACATTTAAATAAATTTAATTTATTATTTATAAAACAAAAATTTTACAAATAACATTAAATAAAAGAAACGCAAGCAATATTTTATAAAAAAGGAAAATTTCTGTGGCTCATGTGAGTTTTTACCCAAATGCTCTTTTAAAACCTGACTAAGTAATTGACTTTTTTTTCTATTTTCAAAATGTCTTATACAATTTTTTAGTTTTTTTTTAAAAACTTAATTATTCAAAGTTGGCTATTTTTTTTTCAAAAAAACTTATTTATTCTGCGTTTATTTTTGCAAATGACATAGAGGCCAACTTTATATACATTTAAATAAATTTAATTTATTATTTATAAAACAAAAATTTTACAAATAACAGAAAAGGCCAACTCTGGGATCAATTAGTTTTCATGTAATATAAAATAGGGCAAAAACCGGCGAAATAATATTTATTTTGAAAAATGTCATAGTAGTTCTATAATGAACATGGCTAATTATGTTTTGTATTTTTAAGTTCGTTTAAATCAAAAATTTAAAAAATAATCTTGACTAGTCAGTTTTTAAATAAGTTTTAAAAAAACACCATTGAAAACAAATCGATCAGGTAAAAAAAAATTGAACAAATTTACAAAAACAAAAACTCGAATGGAGTCGAGTTCAAAAGTGGTTGACGTAAAATGCCACATATACATATTTATAATAAAACAACATGCATATATTTTAAAAAAATTTATTCTTGGAGTTACACCATTAATATCCGCCCTGAGTGTCACCCAGCTACGCCACTGAACGTCGTCAATTTTTCTATTAATAGACAAATAATAAACTAAATTATTATTTTAATAACAATATGAATTACTAACTAAAGCATGGAATTTTAGTTTAAAAACCCAACGTAAACAATTTACTAACAAACTAACTAATCAATAAACTAAATAATTAACTAACTAAAAATTACTTAAGTACCAACTAAAGCATGCAATTTTTAAACCTGACTAACTTAAACAATTTTACAAAGTTATGAAATTAGTAAACTAACTAATAAACTAAATTATTAAATAACTAACATTCTAAATTACTAACTAAAGAATGTCATTTTGGTTTAAAAAAATTAAACATAAGAATTTCATTAACTTATTAAGTTACTAAACTAACCTGACTAACTTTAAAAACTTATGAAATTAGTAAACCAACTAATAAACTAAATTATGAAATAACTAACATTCTAAATTACTAACTAAAGCATGTCATTTTGGTTTAAAAAAAATTAAACATAAGAATTTCATTAACTTATTAAGTTACTAAACTAACCAAGTATTAGTATAAAACTAACTGTTCAATTAACTGAATTATTAACAATCAAAATTACTAACATTTTAATAACTAATATTACTAAACTAACTAGCTAAATAAATAACCAACTGATTAACAAACTATCTACCCAATTTATTATCTTAATTTAAGATTTTTAAAACAATATAGCTTGATCAATTTTTCTATAAATATTCTAATAATCTAAATTAACTAACTAACTAATAAATTATTAAATAAATAACAATCTAAATTACTAACTAAAGCAAGTAATTTTAGTTTAATTAAACAACGTTAACAATTTACTAACTTAATAACTTACTGAACTAACTAACTAATCAATAAACTAAATTATTAACTAACTGGCAATTACCAATTACCAACTAAAGCATAACATTTTGTTTTAAAACAAACTATAGTTATACCAGTTTTACCAACTTATGAAATTATTAAACTAACTAATAATAGTAAATTATGTATTAAGTTTTATAAACGCCATTTTATTTACGAGTTTTATTAGGCACGAGCGAAGCTTGCGAGCGAGTGTAATAAAAACAAGTGTTTAGAAAAGTTTATAAACTAGTTGCATACTATACTTTATCTACGACGAACACAAAACAGAATTTAAAGCCAATTTTATTTGTTAAAAATTTGACATCTGTCAACTGTCACCCGAATTTAACCTCACTTTTTCACAATTTATAATAGATCTTACTTCAGCCCGTGACTTAAAGCTTAAAAGCCACTGTTTATAACTTCATCCCGTGACTAAAACGCCATAAAGTCACAACTCGTCAATGTAGGAGTAGATAAACTAAATTATTAAAGAACTAACAAGCTAAATTACTAACTTATAGTTAAAAAACTAAACTTAAACAATTTTACTAACTTATGAAATTACTTAAGTGACCAAGTATTACGTTGGCAACTAACTACCTAATCAATAAACTGAATTATTAACAAACAACCAAAATAACTAACTAATGCATGACATTTAAGTAATAATATTAGTAAACTAACTAAATAATAAACTAACTAATTAACAAACTAACCATTAATTATCTTAATTTAAAATTCTTAAACCAATAGCTTAATCAAAATATGCTAAAAGTATGTAAAAGATTGACACTGTATAACAGCCAAATCCTTGTTGTAATAAAATTATAAAAAATATATTTTTTATAAAATTTTTTCAACATTCTCACGACCCCCATAAGTACCACTACGTATCCTATCAAATTTCAAAAATCTCAAAGTTCGGTATCCGACCGAACTTTTGTACAGCCCTGAGCAGCAAAAACACGTGGTCCATACTCCGATGACAGCTGTGACGAAACTCCACCCACAACCGGTGGTGGCTCCGTTATGCCATATAAGTATACACACAACAAATATAGACCAAAGTTGTATTTTACGATTTATTAATGGAATACCAACCGAACCTATATGGGTACCTAAGTACTGAATAGAATTTCAGTTGGATGTTGATCTAGTTTTTTTAAGAGCCAGGTGTTGAGCTAAGTCTATTTGAAAAGAGCTAAGTAAATGAAGGAATTATGGGCTTCAGCTTGAGATTATACCTTGTTATTTTAAATTTAAATATTTAGTATTATTAATATTATTGTTTACGAATAAAGTTTTAGTGCCACACACAGTAAAGCATTTTTAACTTGAAATAGGGATATCCGCCTTATAAGGGTCGATTCAAGAGTTCTACATTTGTAAAATTTTAAATACAAATTTCTAAGGATACTAAAAAATCTATTAATTTTACGATTTTTTAAAAATCTTCAACATTTATTTAAGTTTAAAATTAATCTTGACCTAACTTTTGAAGAGCTACAAGGAAAATAAGCCAGCGGTTCTTTAATTATTTATAAAAAAAACTAAAAACCTTTTAAAACCAACAATTATAACTTTGTTATTTCTGGAAATTTTGAAAAGGTTCTCAAAATATTAAAGATTAAATTTAATTAAATTTATTCAGCCATTTCCATTTAAATATAGGAAGAATCTAGAACTCTTGAAAGGGGTGAGTTTGTGCGCGAAGCTGAGGTCGTTAACCCTGACAAACAGGCTGTCCATCTTTGTTTTTATGCACGCTTTAAAAACGAAAAATAGGAGAGTTGAATTTTTTAATCGGCACCAAGGAAACGTGAAGGTTTTCGTTAAAAAGGATCGATTCCATCTCATATCTTTTTGATGATGTGAATTTGCATATCGGGGATAAATTGTCCAGTCTAATTCTAGTTTACAACTTTATTAAAGTTAAATTCCTTTTATATTCCTTAATAATCCTTTTATATTATAAATTGTCAATATTGGCGAATGCGCCGGGATTAATTAATTAATTTTAAATTTATATATGTATTAATTACGTGTAATGTAATTTATTTTTTGTTTTTATTTATTGACAGAAATTTCAAAAAATTGTGAATGTCCAAAATACTACAAGGTTTTTTTAATATTTATCAACAAAAATGTTAATAACATTATTATTGTTTTTAGGTACAACTTGATTGTGTTAATTTTTTTAGTTTAGATATTTATTTGCTACATATTTTTAATTTTATAATAATATTTAGTTACTGCATGGGTTTTTAAGGTTTTTTAATTTTTGCTCAATTTTCAATGTGAAATAAAACATTCTTAGATAGGATCTATTTAATTATTGCAAATATGAAATGTTTAATTTGTTATTTTACATTTTATTTCACATTTTAAATTTATATATGCACAGCTTTTTCTTATGATTTTATGATTTTTTTGTGACTTGTTTCTTTTTATTTTGTTTTAGAATCTGTACGGAGAAGGAGGTTTCCTTCGTGGAGAGTCTAGACGAGGAAGGGGGAAGGGCAGAGGTGGAGGGGTAGGTTTTTAACCTTTTAAAAACAAAAATTAAGAAGATTGGAAAATTTAAATATTAGAATATCGTCCCAAACTACTATATATGGATTTATTCCTATTCTTTAAAATTCAACAAATTTTTAATAGTCAACAAAAAAAACCTAAAATTAAAGGCAATTATTTTATTCAAATTCCTTGAAGTATTGTATTTTTATATCTTATAAACAAGAAATAATTCTGAGCAAAAATTTTATGGTTTTCAAATATATATACATATAAACTCAGTTGTTGTTTGGTTGAAGATGCATGTGTTGACAATCAGTGGCGCCCTCTGGGTCGGCCCGGAACGAAGGTAAAAGTGAACGTGCCGTCGAAACTGAAAGCGATGCAGAACAAAAAGACACCCTTCCAAATGCGCATTTTCGTTTTCACCCTCAATAGCGGTTGAGTATTGATTTATGTTTGGGAGCATGCGCAAGCCGCGCACAGCAAATTTGCAATTACACCGTGTACAGCCAGGACAAAATTATCCTGTTGGTATGAGGTGATGGCTTTTTTAATAACACGAAAAAACGAGCCTGGATCCCAAAAATCCTATTAAATGTTTAAGACGCCGTAACCAGTTACACGAAATTATATTTATATCTCATCATTTTTTTATTATTAAATTTTCTCGAATTTACATCTGTCTCCTCACTCGTGCCTAATATGATTTTCGTCGCTCAGGAAGAAATCAGATGGAAACATTTAATAACCATTAGATGCGATTTAAACGCAATTTCCAACGATTTTTTTTTACATTATTACTTTTTTAAATTAGAGAAAAATACTGGAAATCAGAAAGATTTTTATTCCCCGAAATATACCTTATATAAGCTAACTCAAGATTTACATTTTTTAATTATAATAAAAATTCAAATATAAATTTTAACACAAAATTTAGCAGCAATACCTAGAACTCTGCAACCAACAATACTAAACTTAACAAGCTTAAATAGTAGGTATATGTAAACATCAACATATTTTGACTACTGCTTATAAACAGTTACCTGTTTACAACGTTGCCACATGATAAAATATTTATAGAGTGTAACTTAACCTGATATAAACACTCGACAATAAAAAAAAGATAGGGCAACTATAAACAATAATGCATAACATACAATAAATTTAAATCTCGGTTAAATAAAACGAAACAAAAATATGAATTTAGATTTCGAATATCGTCCACTTTCGCTTGAACTCGTATTTAAGCGTTGTTATGCACTCATCAAAGACGTACGTCATTTTGTAAGCGCATTCGTTAATAAGCACTACATTTAGCTTTTCATATAAAAGTACGCTTTTTATAGAATTTTGTTCTATACCTACGTGGGAGGGGTAAACAAACTATAACAAAATTTAGTATGATTGCTTATAGAGTGATAGTACACGTGTTTTATTCATATTTATCGATTTCTTAATTTGTTAATTCAATAAGATTTTTAAAATTTTATTCATTGACTACATCAAAGTGTGTTCCTAATAAGCAGTAGGCAGGTATATCAAGTTTATTTTTAGACTTTATAAATTAGAGAAGTCAAGGACATTCATCACATTTTTAATATATTATTGTCCTATTTACGTAATTTAGATATCTATTAAATTCATTTAATTAAGTTTTCCCTTCATCTGTATACATATTTTAACAAAAACTTTATATACAGCCTAACAATAGCGCAAAACTAAAAATCCCCCGGTAACTTAATATTGGATTTTCATCTATTCTCCGAAATCATAAACCTATTCATCTTAAAAATATTAATAAGGGTGGATTATCTCTTTTAAAAAGCCAGGTAATAGGTTCTAATTGATTTGATTTGCAGAGCTACCGTGGCAGAAAACCCAGCGGGCCAGTAGCTCCCATCGGTGGCAGCAGTCTTCCACCAGATACCAACGGTGTACCTACCACTCAGCCACCAACGAGACCCAGTCCACAACCAGTCACTGTTCAACAGCCAATGCCTATACAGCAACAACCTATGGTAAGAAAATTTAATAATATTATTAATGATGTTTAGTGGAAGGGTTAGTGTCCATTGACCGAATTTTGTTTAGTAACCTTGGTAATGAAAATTCGTGTTATCATTTTGATTGCGGGGGGCGACGATAGCTGTCTGATAGCAGAAGGGTCGCTCTACCCTACCGTTGAGGTAGGTCCAAACCGCTTTCTCCCCCTGAAGGGTGGATATCCGTGAACGGTCTGATCCTGAACCTTACTCCAATTGCGAAATAATGCACTCCCAAAAACCCCGAATAACTCCCCCACATTGTTTCTTATTTTCAAAGGAATTCTGCATGTTGTGCAGGTCAAACACAAAACAAACCATTGCTTACGTATTTTATTATGCATTATCATTCTTTAATAAATAGTATAAAAATACTAATACGTTCTGTTATCAAGTTTATTTAACGAAATACCTTTATGACGAAAAATAAATAAAACATAATCATTTGTAGGCCCCAATGCCGTTTTACGCTGATCCAAACCGTTTTCCAACGCCTGTGTGGCAAACCACCACAGAGCAAGGTAAGTCAATCTAAACTTATATAAACAAGTATACATTTATAATTTTTGTATATTTTTTTAGCATGGGCACCTCAGGGTCAGTTTATCCAACAAATCCCAGCCGGTCAGCCTATAGAAACCTACCAGCAATACCCAAATGGCATCTACCAAACAACTTACCAACAGCCAGCCTTTGAAACTAACACTTTCTACACGGGTGCAGTCCAAGTTTTAACCAACCGCCCTCCAAGTGTACCCACCCAACAACCTCAACTAACACCGAGACCAAATTCAAATTTTTCTCACACTCCTAGTCCAGTGCCTGCTCAACAGCAGCCTCAACCTCAACAACAGCAGCAAGTTCAGCAGCAAAATAATCAGCAACAGTCGCAGCAGCAGCAACAGTCTCAGCAAACTCAAGCCAATAACAGGCAATACCAAGAATATAACATGCAGAATCAGAATTTTAACCCTGCTTCAACTCCAACGGGAAACGAGAGCCAATCTCGACCAAGCTCAGTAAACAGTATTGCCAATCCTCCAACGCCAAACCAAAACTTTAACCAACAACAAAACACTGTGTATACGACAGTATCATCGGCAAATTTTAGTCCGAGTTCCAACTCTAGCAACTTTGTCAATGCTAATTCGGGAAACGACAAGCCTGGATATCCACAAGTGAACAGCAGCCCGCAGCTAACTTCACTCAGCTCTAGTGGATATTCAGGCCAAGGACAGTACAGCGGGCAAACTCACTGGCAACCCCAAGAGCAGCAAATTATCTGGGAACAACATCAACACGTTGAACCCAAAGTAGAACAAAACTATCAAGAAGTCCAGGCTAATAACGATCACTACAATCAACACCAACAAGAAGTCAATACGTCTCCCAATAAAATGGAGGGTCACAACGTGCAAAGTGCTGTTAAAACATTCTCTCAGGCGGATAAAGTCAACTTAAACACGCGAATTAAAACAATGATACTCAATAAACAGCAGGAAAACAAAATCGAAGAATCCAAACCAGTAGAACAAAACACTACCGGTCATTTTTTATGGTATAGCCACCATCCCCACTTGAACTCGTCAAGTGGTGATGGTGGCCCCCAAAACACCATTCCCCTCAAAACCGATAATGTTTCAAACAACAATTTTCAAACCGGGCCAAATTTTCGGTTTAAAACTACATTTCATAGTCACATTCCCAATAAAAACTCTCAAATTTTGAATAAAGAAGAAAATCAGGTTTTTCCCTATAAAGGCGATATGCGATTGAAAGTGGAACATCTAAAAGAAGGCTCGTTGGAAACTAAAATTAAAGTTAAGGAGGAAAAAAAAATCGGCAATGAAATTCCTCAATGCAGTTGTTTTCCTGTGGATCAATTACCTCCGGAACCTGGTACTTATTATACTCATTTAGGTAAGAAAAATTAATATAATTTTGTTTCAATAGTTATTAATGGCTTCGTTATTTAAGGCTGTGCAAATAACTTAAAGACTTTAAGAACTGATTTCGAAATGCGTACTGGAGTCCAAGGTCATGCAATAAGAATAGAAAAAGTTCGTTTTACTGGAAAAGAGGGTAAAACTGCTCAAGGTTGTCCCATTGCAAAATGGGTAAGTTTTTTATTATTTTTGTTTTTTTAATATTTCATTTTTACCTTTATTTATTTAGATAATTCGTCGCTCAAACATACAAGAAAAATATCTTATAATTGTGAAATACCGTACAGGACACGTTTGCCATTCCGCCTTCATCGTAATTTGTATAGTAGCGTGGGATGGAATCTTAAGAAATTCTGCAGATGATCTGTACTCTATGTTAACTGAAAAACTTAATAAATACGGAATTCCAACAAAAAGAAGATGTGCCACCAATGAACAACGCACTTGTGCCTGTCAAGGCATAGACGAAGAAAAATGCGGCGCAAGCTTTTCTTTTGGCTGTGCTTGGAGTATGTACTACAATGGCTGCAAATTCGCCAGATCTAAAGATGTGAGGAAATTTAGGCTGATTGACAAACTCGAAGAACATTTAATTGAAGATCGGCTGCAATGGCTAGCCAACTTCTTAAGTCCCTTGTATAGAAACCTGGCACCCAAGTCTTTTGAAAATCAATGTCATTATGAGAAAGTTGCATCGGATTGTAGGTTGGGCAGCACTCTTGGAAGGCCTTTTTCGGGAGTTACTGCCTGCGTTGATTTTTGCGCTCATTCGCACAAGGATTTGCAAAATATGAATGATGGATGTACAGTTGTTGTAACCTTGAGCAAGCACAGGGAATTAACTAAACCAAGTGATGAGCAATTGCATGTTCTTTCAATGTATGTCGCTGACGATACAGATGAGTTTGGATCTAAAGAACAACAAGACCAAAAAATCGAATCGGGAACCATTGAAGTTTTACACAGGTAATAAACCATTACAATATAATCAAACAAAGTTCTTATAGTTTTTTTTTTAGTTTTCGTTCAGAAGTTCGTACGTGTTCGGTTCCTGCCCAGACTTGTCTGCGACGAAAAAATAAAAAGTCCACAGGCGTAAAAGTATCCAAAAGAAAATCTACCTCATCAGAACCAAAGTCGCCTTTGATTAAGTTTTCTCCTAGTTTAACAAGTTCTCCTGTACAGATGTCGTTGAATACTTCAAACGAAATTCAGTACAACCAAGTGTCCAGTACAGTTATGGGCATGCCAAACCAATATAATAGGTACGAACAAAATTTTAACAGAGCTTATAGTAATTATACGAGTGATTCTATTTATCAGAGCTTGCCTTCTTTTTCTTTCTTCAAAACTCCTATAAACTCTTTTGGTCACAGTAGTATTTATTATCCTCAAAGTTACCTCAGAAATTACAATACATCTTCTAATGATCCAGAACAATGGTCTAGCCCGCTGTTATCTAATCAAAATCAATTACACCCAAGCTACAATCATTATTCGCCCAATTACTATTCCATAAACAATCCATTTGATGACTGCTATTCAAACAACACGGTACCGCTAAAAGCAGAACCACACAAAACGTCAGTTATTGATATTCAGCAAACTGACAACGTTGAGTGTTTTAGAGATAGTGAAATAGGTGGCGTAGCGATCGCGTTAACACACGGTAGCGTTTTGTTTGAATGTGCAAAACATGAACTGCATGCAACCACTGCCCTTAAGAATCCCAACCGACAATCTCCGACTCGCATATCGCTTGTTTTCTATCAGCACAGGAACTTGAACAAGGCCCAGCACGGTCTTGCCGAGTACCTGGAAAAAATGAGAGTTAAAAAGTTAGACCAGCCCTCCTCAGAGTTTGATTACAACACTAAAGTAGAGAGTAGCTTAAGTAGTTTGAACAGCTCGGAAGAGTTAATTGTGCGGGCCCCAACGGCGCCCACCGTTTCTTTTACAACAATGTTTCCAATGTACCCCTGTACAGTTACAGGTCCGTATCAGGAGAATGTGCCATGAGATGTAGTTTCCTTACAACTAGTAGTTTTTTGCAAGACTGCAAAGTAATCCGAAAATATCTATTGGGGTATTAACCAATATACTGCCATGATTTATACCGAAATTTTATTGAATCACATTGTCAGTGCCTCTATGATCTCAAAGAAATCAATTCACAAATCTACTCAGAGTACAAATTTACATTTCTGCGCTTGTCATTATAAAAAAACAGTCGAAAATAACCAAAACTGGCTGCTGATTAGATTTCTTCTGTTTATTAGTTAATTTATTATATTATTTTAGCTAGATTTTTTTGTACATTTTTGCTACATATGATTTTGTATCGAATTTAAGTTTCCTTAGATGTTAATCTTCGACTGACATACTATCGGAAGTATTAAAACCATATAATAGTCATTATATTAAATTTATTTTTGACCAAAGTACTAAAATACTGAGATAGTATTGCAGTCTAAAACCAGTTATAATTTATAATTTATTTGTATATATTTTACATTAAGGTTTATTTTTTTGTTATTTGCATTAATTTTGTGGTAAAACTACGCGACAACCATCATCGAATCAGGTTTACTATTAATTACCTAAAAAAAGTAAGATTGTATGAAAGTTAAACTTTATGAATTTGGATGAGACTATATTATATTCGCGATAAAAATTAGTGTTGTTTGTGTATAGAGATCATTTATTTAAAGGATTTAGTCCACATTTTTGCCTTTATCCTTGCTTCACGTAAAAGATTATATATTTTTGCCAGCGTGAACATGGTTTTAATTAAATTATTTGTAAAAATTGTTTGGAGCGTCTTCCGTTTGGAGAAGCTTTGGATTTTATTGTCCCAAAAAGGCCCTACAACATTGCGTATACATCTGATATGTGTGCAGTTACTTTGTAGTATTGAAAGTATATTTTTGACAAAAAAGAATAAATATTTATAGTGTTCTTATTATGCCTACAAAAAATATTGTATAGTGTTAGGACCCAGTCACTTGATAATTCAAGAATAATTTATAAGTATGTTAATACAAGAAAATGATGCCAAATATTTTAAACTAGATATTAACCTTTTGTATTTGTTGTTTTTACGGTAATTTTCTTCCATGCCTTTTTTGGCCCACACAATTTTATGTAATATAGGTTGGTCTTTTTATAGCTATCCATTATTTATTATTTTATTTATTTATTTCATTTTAATACTCCATCATTTTTATGCAAAATCAATTTTTCGAATTTTATAATTTTTACAAATTTTCACAGACTAAGAGCTTTTGTGCAATAAACCTGACCTTCAGTATTATTAACAATGAATCTTGCATAGAAATGATGGACGGACGACATCAATCAACAAGTTTTAGTATTAGAAATAAAAATGTATATATTTTTTACACAATTTTTAGTATTTAATAATCGAAAAACCAAAAAGCAATTTACAAATAGGTACTGTACAGCACGTTTTTAAGTTTACATTGCCATATATCTCATCTCCCATTTGTAAAATTTACCATGACACATAAAATTCAAATAGCAATACTTCGATACGATTTATCATATCAAATGGCTATGTTTACTTAAACACGTAGTGTATTTTCGTCAAACAATATTTTGTATTTTCTAATTATAGATTTTTTAGTTTAGAATTAAGAAACAAAATTAATATGTGTATTGTCTTGTGAATACATTTATATGATAGAAATTGATGAATTTTATTTATTTATTCACAGTACCTAAAGTATCATCTATTTGATATGTATTTTGAAGCCTAACTGTGTATTTTAATAATTAAAATAGCCAGAATTTATAGCCAAGGTAGGTACTTTATATACAGAGTGTAAATTTAAAAATGAACAATGCTCTATAAGACTGGAACTAAAAAAGATATACAAAAACTTTCAAAATCATTTCTAGGATATGTTGGGGGAATCAGTATGTCCATAAAAATGACCTTCACTAAGCAACCCCTGGGGCTGTAGCCATCACAACTCATTTTTTTTTATGCCTACACTCTTTGTAAAACCTCATTGGAAAGCTTTTAAAAATTTCTATTTAACAGTGCTAAAACATAATTGTTAATAGTTTAATTTTTGAAAAATATGCAAAATAATTTTTATAATTATTTATTTAATTTTTTCGTTGTAAATATTAAATAAAACCATTAAATATCAAATTAAACCATTTTGTTGTCGTAAAAACATTAGTAAAAAAAACTGGAGAAAACAAAATAATTCTAACAAAAGTATAATAAAATAAAAAAACAAAAATAAACAAATTAAGAATAATCAAAACCATTTAATTTAGCTTTTTAAATGTACAAAATAACTCGAGTTGGGAACCCATAACTCTATTTTAAAATAGTCTTAATATTTTAAAAAATTTGTCGAGAATTATATTCTCATTATTAAATAATTTAAATCCTCATTTGAAGCTCTAAAGCTGGTTGCAAAATTTAAACAAACCAAAAGAAACCATGAAGCCACCCTTATTAAGGTTCTAGATCAGTGTGGTGCAGATCCCACAATATCACTCAGTACGGAATCTAGATTAACAGGGATTTGCCGGGCAAATTTTGCCCTTAGTCTGTTAGGAAGGTGTTGAAACATTACATCTGATGAGTGTACTTTTATTTAAATGAAAATGTTAACAAATAAAATTTTCGATATTTGAGCAATGAAAATCCTCATTTCATCAGAGAATATCATACCCAGTATCCTGAAAAACTTAATGTCTGGGCAGCCCTAGCGGATCTGGCAAAAGCAAATTTAACATTGAGTTGTGCACAAAGCAAAGGCAAAATCAACTCAAAAATTGCAGGTTTTGTGTCATTATAGCGTTTTATTTTCGTTTATTTGGCGTTGACTTTTATGATAGTATGGAATGGAGTTTAGTTTTAAAATTAAACGCAAATATAATATAATAGATTTGCGTTTAATTTTTGAAATTAAACACAAACATTTAATCTTTTTATTTTTTTGTAAAATATGGTCAAGTTTGCGTTGAAATTCAAAGTCAATATGTACTTTTTTGTCGACTCGGCATTCATTTTGCGTTGATATTTGTGTTGAAATGTGCGTTAAAATTTTGCGTTTAATTTCGAAATGTAAACGCAAAAACAAATAAATATTTTTTGAATGGTTTTTATGCAAACTCTAGTTTTGGATACAAAAAATAATTTGTTTATATTATAATATGCCTACTTAATAAATAATAACAATAAAAATACTAAAAATTTGCATCAAATGTTTCTTGTTTCGCAAACATTACATAATTTCGAGTACAAAATTAACGTTAATATAAATGTAAAACGTACCACTTTGATTAGTTAGAATTTGGTAAAACACAAAACCAATTAATATGTTCTGTGGGAATATGACATTTAGCTTAATTTAAAAGCTATTTGGGCAGCACATTGTTTTAAATTATTTTTTAATATGATTAAGGGTCTCAATTAAGAAAATCTGAGATTAACTCATCTCTAAAATTATTTATTTACTTTAAAAAAATTAAATCTTAAATCATCTGTTTCATCTTTTGAATATTTTCATGTATTTATATATTTTTAATAAATACCATTTCTACCTTGGAAATCCGATCTTGTCCCTTCTGGGTCGCAAAGTCACTTATATTTCACTTACTAGGTATTTCATAGAGCAAGAATGCCAACGCAAAGTAGTCCCCATTTTAGAAAAAATAACCCAACAATTTAAGTTTATGTACAGTTGAGTTTTCGGTTGTGAACACAAAACTAGCGTTACATTTCTGTTAATTTAAAGCATGTTTTGTTTCAATATTTTTTTTCAATATTTTGCCAATTGAATTGGGGTAGCTACAGCCCCCGGGTTTGCTTAGTGAAGGTCATTTTTGTGGTCATACAGATTCCCCCCACATATCCTAGACTTATAGAGAATTGCTCGTTTTTAAATAGACACCCTGTATATTTTAGAACAAAAGATTAAATAAAGATTTGAATCCAACTAATAAACAGTAATTCTTTACTTAATGACTAACATCATTAAACTTCTTTAAGAAATTGCTTACAGTAGCAAAAAACAATGTTTGATTGATTAATATTTTCTACAATCTTGCGCTCCACGCCAAATCTGTTTGTTTAAAAATATATATTATTTCATTTAAATATGTATACAATGTAGGTATATGAAACAATATTTATTTTTAAACAAACAAATTTGGCGTGGAGCGCTACATTGTATACAATGTATACATAGTTATTATATAGTATAAGTTATTATGACTAATTTATTTTTCAAGTAGTTATAATAATTAAATTTAAATTTTGGGAAATTTACAGAACATGATTGGATTGCAGCCTTATCCAAAGTTGGTTTAATAGGCTTATTCCTAGGATACTATTTAAATTTTAATTTATTTTTTCTACTCCCTCCTTTAAAACGCCCATTATCGTATATGTTTCCATAACACTTAGTCACATTTTATTTAAAACAACGACAAGTTGTGGCTTTAGTCACAGACTGAAGTTGGCAACAGGTTTTTAGTCATGGGCTGAAGTTAGGCAGTTGTCAAATGTCATACAATCGTTAAAATAAAGTGCCTTTCTTGTAAAATAATACTAAATGTGAAATTTATTGTATTATCTCAATACCAAAATAAAAGCATATTAAATAGTTTTTTGACGCCAATATTTGAAAAGTTTATATGAACATTATACTGACTTTTTAATTTCGCCTGCAGTAACTTAAATTCGGACACGGACTCCACTGTAAAGTGCTCATAAAACATTTTCTTTACTTTCAATGTGAAAAACTGTCAATTTTCTAGAAATACATTTCGATTTATAACCTTTATAATCTGTGTTTATAAAATAAAAAAATTTGACATTTGACGCTGACACACAGATTCCCATATTGTTTCATAGATGGCGCTCTATACCAATTTTTGATTTAAATCATTTTAAGATAATAATAAGTATTTGTCGTAGAAAAAGTATAGTATGCACCTCATTTATAAACTTTTCTGTACACTCATTAAGTTAAGCACTCGCTCGCAAGCTCGCTCGTGCCTAAATTAAATTCGTGTATAAACTTGATACATAATAAACTATTATTAATTACATAATATAATATTATGTTTATTAACCTATTAATTATTTTAAAGATAATGCTTGATAATCATTTGTTTTTCCACCTAGGTAGATATTAAAACGAACAACATATAAATGCAATATACTCTAGGCATGTCTGCAGATATGCAAAGCTGCCTCCTAAAATTCACGCGAATACCGGCTTACCTATAGGTACCTAGGTATCGCCACTACCTTCTCGAACCGGACTGGCAGAATTTCTTCTCTGTCTTCATTCAATTCAGTCGCGTATACATTCTCAAGCAGGTAGAACGGACCTAGACCAGTCGATGGTCGCTTTAAAAGCGTGAACCCTTACTTATCCAACTGTGTTATAGTGACTTTGGTGTGGTGGTGGCAATTTAGACAGAAAATACTTGCAAGTGCTCTAAAATATTGGGATTTATTCATTTATTTTAAATTAGAGGTAAGTTGCAGAAGAGAATTGGTCTTCTTGCAGGAATTTCTGATGAAAACAGGTTTATCTCGCTTTATTTTGCAGTCGCCACTGCAATTAAGTTTTATTTTATGTGTATGTCGCATCTGATGACAATTGTCATTGTCCGTGCGGATTTTTCTACACAAAACCAAATCTAAGGCAGTAGGAAAACGGCACATGATAATTAAAGTTTATTGTTTACAACGAACATGTTATCTTTTCCACTATAATACTACCTACTTCATATTATGAAGTTCATTACAATAATTAATACTGATCTACAGAAAACAAAGGTAAAAAGAATACAAAATTTAAGAATGCAATAAAAAATAACTTGACTGTTAAAAATTGTATCTACTAATTATCATTTTTAGTGATAATTTACTAAAATCTATTACGGCAATTAAAAACCATTTTATTTTTTTATGTTAAACGCTGGTTGGTGTGGTGCGATAAAAACTTGTTTTTATGGTACTCGCTTCCGGTAAAATCGGTTTTGTTTATTAATTATAGTTACCTCTTTCTATTTTTGGTCGATAACCTAGACCTCACCAGGTCACTTATGTTTGATTTATTTTTTTATATTAAAGTAAAAATATGATTTGATATGCTTCTTAAAAAAAATTATATTATGTAATATAATTTTTTTAAGAAGCATATATAAGCATGTATAAGTATATATATACTACAGGGAATTGTTATAGTAAGAATTACATAACCACTGCTTGGTTCTAAATTATATTAATTTAAGGCTAGTTATACCTAATTAAAAAGTAATTCCCCATTAGGGGTCCTTGAGAATTCAATCCCCTTAAACAAATCACAAATTTAATTTAATAAAAGACATTCGAACAGGAAACAACTTAATTTGTACATTAAAACTTAAAACAAGTGATTTCAAAAACATCAAGACATAATGAAAATAATTGTAAAATTATGAGAGTACGTACTACCTACATATGAAATGAAAGTCGTCTTACCTTATAAAACTCAAAATGATCCCTAAATAGAGGTAAAAGTGCTATAAAAATAAAAAATTATAATTTTAACAAAAAAACTTACTATCATTTTCCGAAGCTGAATCCGAATCCAACATAAAATTGCTATATTGGTTTTTAAGAGCCTTATTGTGGTCAAGATCAGTTTTTTCTTGTTTTAGGT